TTCTTACCAATTATACATCTTTGGGCCAATTAGTAATCTGGATGAAGTGGGCATTCTCTCCGAAACCTGAGAGTCCCACTGTAGTCTGGAGAACATTCCAAAGCCTTCAATGAGCTCATTTAATATCTATACCTTGAAATCTGGCACCTACATTTTGTTTGAGATTCTCTGGGGGAAGCTCCTGAGCAACACAGTGTCATGCACAATGATCAGCATGCCTCCATGCAGCTTGTGCTGATCCCACTGGAATGTCATCTCACTATAAATTAAAGCAGAAGAGGGAATGCTTGGCCTTGATACCTCCCCACTGACCCCAGCCTCCCAAAGGTCCAACCTTGCTGGAAAGTATGTTTCCTACCTCATTATACAATATTATACAATAGCTGGAAAGGCTTCAGTCCTGTACTCAAAAGTGGACTGTGTGTCTACCATCTGAAGATGTGGCTTGAGACGTTCAGAAGCTCCTGGCCATGTTAACCAGTGGGAGACACCTATTTAATCATAGAAACTTCCAAAAGACATTTACTAAGTCATAGAAGGAATGCAATCCATGGTTAATTTAATTCGATTCAAAACATTTATTAGGTGTCAGATGCTGGGCTGGGTGTTAGAGATACATAGATGGACGTGAAACTGTTCCTGCTTTCAGAAAGCTTATCTTCTACAGGACAGAGCCAACACTCACACAAGAAAGTAAATGTATCTATGTGGACAAATCACAAGCCCCTGAAGTATTCAAATAAGATGGATCAGTGAAATGGTTCAAGGACACAGTCTTGTGCTCAGTGTTGTACTTAGCGCTTGGAAAGAAAAAAAACACGGGGACCAATTTTTAAAAATGGCCCTAGATCTCAGAACATCTTCCCTCTTGTTTGTTTGTTCCTTTTGAAAGCCTGGGCCTTTCTGTATTACCCAGACTGGAAGAGCTGGGTCGACTCATGCACTTGATTCCACTACTGGTAGGCATGGTAGCTTTGACCTGCTCCATTTTGGACTTGGGTCAACTGTTCCCAACTTAGGCAGCCTGGGGCACCCTTGCCCTTTCCCATGAGCTCACCATTATGATGTAGAATTAAGTGTGGACACTCAAGTAACCTGGCCCACTGTAAATCAGAATTGCCAAGTTCAGACTCCCTAGTTGGTGGCATTGCAGGCACACACTATTACTCTTGTCTCATCTATCACGAATATGCTAGCACAGGTTGGTATTGGCAAAAACTTAGAAGACATGAAAATACATCAGATAAGCTCTTTATTCCCAGATGCAGAAGTTAGGTAGGAAGGCAAATCTTCCAAATTCTTCACTGACCATCTTTTTGTAAATTTGGCTTCAGTGGATGTTAAAACAACTCTTTTGGGCCAGTATAGTTACTAAGGCTTTGTGTGGGTGGAGTCAACAAAACTGTCTGGAAAAGGAATACTGTGTAAAGTAGCCATATACACAAGGGTAAGGGGAAATATGGACTCATGAATTGAATAGGACCCCACCTCAAGTTGTTAAAGAGTGGTTAATGGTTTAAAAAACCCAGTTCAAACAACTACCTTCCATGTCATGGAAAAATGTGCCTGCCTTGTAAGATACCTTCATGAAAGAACTTCAAACTGCTTGAAAATAAGCCATTTAGTCCAGAAAAGCCAAAGACTCTGAGTGACAGATGTCATTCAGAATCTGATGTGAGCCTTTAGAGCCAAAAGGAAATGTGTGTGTGCAATAACCACACTGCAGGAACATTCGCGATGAAATGATCATTACCTGAGGATGAATCCAATGGAATCTTAAAGTTAGTCTCAAGGACTGAATCCTAGAATGTCCAGAGCCCAGAGCTGAATAATGGTATGCCTTCCCCACCTCCACCCTCATGAATTATTTTTGTAGAGTAAGGTTTGAATCTCACTTCATTTGAAAATGAATCCTCCTCACTTGGTCATGAGTCAAAGTCTCTAATCCACTGACAGAAATGTACAGCAAGAGTTAATCATTAGCAAGTATTTATTGAGTTCTCACTATATACCTCGTGCCATGTAAGAACTTGGGGATAGGAAGGCAAAAATCAAGCAGTCCTTGTCCTCAAAAAGCTTGCATTCTATCGGGGAAAATTACAGGCATGCATGTAAGCAAATGCAATCTATTCACAGAGTAAATGAAAAGTACTCATGGTGGTGGTCAGACTAAGAGCTGGGAACAGAGCAGTCTGGGAAGGCTTCATGTAGGAAGCAGGATTTGGGCTGGGCTCTGAAGGAACCCAAGGATTCCAAAAGGCAGAGCGATGAGGGAGAGTGGGAAAGGTGTTAGCATGGAAGTGGGAAATGGAATTATGTCTGAGGAAGAGCAAGAAGCCTATTTGTGTTGGAACACAGAGTGTGTGAATGGGGAGTATAGAAGGGAGGCTAGAGTCAGGTTGTGAAGGGCTTTGCAAGCCAAACAGAGGAGGGAGGGCATGTCTTATTCTAGAGGCACCCCTGAAGTGTCTCAAGCAGGGTCACCCGGTCATTCCTGCATTTCAGAAAGATCAGTTGGGCAGCTGTGTGGAGGATGGGTTAAAGACAGGTGAGATCTGAGGCAGGAAGACTAACCAAGGGGCTGTTGTGCTACTCCAGGGTTTCCTGCATCTTCCTTCCACTCTGAGAAAGCTGTGTGGCCCTTCACTTCCTGAATGATATTCAGTAACATTACCAAAGGTGACCTGCATATAAGAAGTCTATAAAGGACTCCAACCGGAAACAGACTGGTCTTGGAGCAATAGAGAGATGGAGAGGTGGAGTGTGGCACTGATACTCATCTTCTATTAAAATACCTGGAGTAGGGAAGGATCACCTTAGTCTACTGAGGATTCATGGAGGGCACAGACAGATTGGGCAGGGATATGTGAGCTGCAATGCACTCCTTTGGAAGGAATGTCCATATCAGAGAGATCCATTGGAGTGCTGGAGTGCTGGAAGTTCACTGAGGCTGCATGCAAAGTAGTCCATTTATTACCAGAAAATGACATGCAAATATGGTCCAAGAATGTAATAGCTAGGTGGTCATTATGCCTTGGTGGGAAAGGGGCATAGACCCGGGAAAGTTCAGCACCTGCAGAAAGACAAAGAAGGGGCTGGCATCTGGGGTTTCAGAGAACAAACTACTCTGGATAAATTCAAATCCCCAGATGAATCAGTTACCAATTCCCTGAAGCCCCAGCTGCACCTGGGTGAATGGGCCATGCAAAGCATGAGAGCTAACTCAGCTCAAAATGCCAGGGAAAGCACTCTGCCAATGCTGATGGGCATTCACTCAGGCTTTTCAAATGAGCCTTCCCTAAGGGAGTGGGCTGCCTGGACAACATCGTGCACAATTCTTTGTGCCACTGGCTTCTGGGGTCAATTGATGTAGCCTTTAACTCAGAATGTGAGAGGAAGCATGGAGGAGGGGTTCAGGAGCTGGCCTTGGACCCCAGAAGGCTTTCACTGGGTCTGCCTGTGATGCACACTGGCTGTTTGGACATGGGCAAGTCAGTTAACCACTCAATGCCTCAAGCAACTCTCTAAGATTATAATTGGCTGAGGAGATGTCAGTTCACATCGACAGGGAGAGCTCCTCACTAGAAATTCCCCATATAGAAGAAATCACAAGTCTGATAAACACACACACACACACACACACACACACACACACACACACACACACACACACGGCTGAGAATTAGCAATCAGTCAACAAGCATTTCTTAAGCCCTATTATGGGCCAATGACTTCTGTGATAGTTTTTTGCAGCCTGTCCTAAGAACTCAGTGACACCACAGTAGATGGCACAGTGGACCTGAAGTTAGAAAGACCTGAGTTCAAATTTTACCTCAGGCATTTATTGATCTAAGCAAGCCTGCATAATAATAGCACCTACCTCCCAGGGTGGTCATGAGGATCAAATGGGATAATCCTGGCACAAAGCAGATGTTTATTATTAATAAATTCCTATTCCCTTTATTTTGGTAACTAGGGGTACAAAGACAATAAAGGACCAGTCTCTACCTTTCAGGAGGTCAGCTGTCCTGCCTTCCAGACTAGTGTTTGATCTATAGTGGGAAAATAGGACCCCAGGTTCTTGGAAAGAAGGATTCCTGGAAGTTGTGAACACTCAGGATTGTTCTCCCAGGACCAAAAGAAGGGGATTTTTGAGGAAGAGGTGCCAGCCAGGCCAGTACTAAGTACCCAGTTATAACTAGTGTGGGCCCTGTCCCAGGTGCTGATGAGGAGTGGCTGCTTCTTCCCCAGGGTGACATCCCCACATCTTGTGGGGTGCAGTTGCCCTGTGGACCTCAACAGAGAACAAGCATCTCCTTAGTAGCAGGGAGAATGTCTTTTGTGGCCTCCCATGTGGACAGACCCTCCCCTGTCATAAGATCATGGCACCGTCATTTGAAGCTGGAAGGGACTCCAGGTCCTCTCCAAACACAGTATTCTTCCCACTATACAACAGCTCATTCTTTGCCCACCACAAGCCTCCTCTCCTTTTCATAATATCTTCTCTGCCTGATGAATTCTAAACCTCCCCACCACACACACACACACACGCGTGCGCACACACACACAAATGCACACATGTCCCAGACATCTCTGCTTAAGTATGGCTCCCACCCTATATTTTTGACTGTTTGAACATGACCACCAAAGAGTAGTGGTCCACCAGTTCTAGGGACCTGGCATTTAGCACCTTCAATAAAGATCACAAGTAAGGAAAGAAACAGGTAGGAATCTGGAGGAAAGCATGTACTTTTAGGAAGAAATTCAGAATGAATTTAAGCAATTCTTCCTCAGATACCATTGGAAAGTAAAAGTCACTAATCTAGTCCCTCCCCTTAACATTTGCATCCCTTCTGCCCCAGCAGGGCCTTTGGAAAAGAATTCTTCCTGACTTGTCTTCTTCCCGGCCTTGCCCACTGGCCCAGGGACTGGCTGAAGGGAGAGTCTGGCCAGTGCTGTGCTTCTATCAGTCAGATCTTCTGCTCTGGGTATTTGAGAAGTCTACCAAGAGAGCCTGGGATTTCTGGTAGGAAACATGATTTCTCCGGCAGAAATTTACCACACCATGGTCCTATAGTTCTGTTCATTATGGGGATTATTGGAAATGGGTTTCTAGTGGTCGTCAATGTCAGTAAACTGATTCAGAACAAGAAGCTGATCTCCATTGAGCTCCTCCTCACCTGCCTTGCCATATCACGACTTGGCCTGCAGATTTTGTTGACATTTCAAGGTGTCATGAGTGTTTTCTTTGCCAAAATTTATCGGCAGAACATTTATGGATCTCTTTTCCTCTTTATCTGGATGTTTCTAAATTCCTCCAGCTTCTGGTTTGCCACCTGCCTTGGCATTTTCTATTGCCTTAAGATCTCTGGCTTTACACATCCCTGTTTTCTGTGGCTGAAATTCAGGATCTCCAAACTAATGCCCTGGATGCTTCTGGGAAGCCTGGTGATCTCTGTGATCACTGCTGCCTTATCTGCCTGTGTGTTGCATTATTCCTCAGAGTCCTACACTCACTGGCCCAAGAATGTCTCCTTGGCTAGCCGTGATTCTGAAAGAGTCCCCAATGATGACATGTTCCTAGCCAACTTGATATTAATATTTCCTCTAGGTCTGTTTGTCATGTGTACAGTGACTTTATTTGCCTCTCTTTACAGCCACACTCACCGGATGCAAACCAGTTCCTCTGATTTAGGGAATCCCAGTGCAGAAGCCCATATCAATGCCCTGAGGACTGTGGTCACCTTCTTTTGCCTTTTCATTTCCTACTTTGCAGCCCTAATGGTGAACCTGACATCCACAGTGCCTTTTAGAAGCCTCCTGTTCTTTATCTTGAAAGATGTGATGGCAGCTTACCCCTCTGGCCACTCTGTGATCATCATTCTGAGCAATTCCAAATACCAGCAGCCATTCAGGAGGATCCTGGGCCTCCTAAAGAAGACATAAACAGATGGACAATCACAGAACCATTTCCAGTCATTTCTGATTACTGAGAGCCCTTGTTCTTTTACCCATGACTATTTTCTCCTTTCTCATGACACAGAGAGACTCGCAGTTTTACAGTGTGTAAAGCACTGTAGATAGTCAGTGATTATTAAGGGAATCAAGCCAATGAATGTCTTAATGACTGAATAGGTATGAGCAGGGTGGATTTCTATCTCTTGTTTATTATGTGCTTTTCTTTGGGCATTTGGGAAGGTATAAACAGATAGATATGTATGTAGATGGGAGCAATGCCAGGGGACCCCAAGCCTTGGCAGACCCCACCAACCTGAAGAAGCTTCTGGCATTGGCCAGTGGCAGACCAATGGATTGCTGTCAGGGTCAGCCAAAGCCAAGCTCAAGGAGGCTTCTTGCCATGTTGACTGTCAGGGCAAAGGTTTATTAGCCATAGCACCTCTGGATGACCATGTGCTAAGATACAGAGATGTTGTCATCGGCACTAATGGGGGAAATGACTTCACTGATGGAGTCATTAGGGTGTGAGGTAGAAAATTTCTCATGTAGACATTGTTGGGGAGAGCAAAGCAACTTGACACCATGGCAATGGATTTTATGGAGGAACAGAAAATTTCCTTGATAATATTCTATTCATTTTATGGGAGGTATCAGGCAGAGAAAGAGCATAGCAGGGTGGAAAGTGTGCTGGCCTTGGAGTCAGGAAGACCTGAATTCCAATCCCAGTTGTGTTCCAATCCCCTCCCCAAGCTGCAGGTGACTCCCTGGGAATGATCTACCACATTGTAATCTGTATGATCTACTTGAGTGGCAAGAGTTCTCTATACTGATAAAAGCACAACTGCTCAGCATCTTCACATCTGGAGAGCCAAAGTTTCACTGAGGTTATTTTGCACTGTTTCAATTTATCATAATTCTAAGGGGAATAATAAAAGTGCCAATACTTTGTTCACCCTGTTTGCATGTGGGAATTACTCCTAGTAATGTTTGCTACAATCACAGTTGAGCACCCTTCTAGGAAACCAGAATTCTTAAGTTTTAGCCCATTTGAGAAAGGAAGGACCATAGAATTGCAGAGCAGGAAGACATCTGGGAGAAAATTTTCAGACAAGGGACCTCAATCTGTCTTTTCCTTAGAAACTGACAATTCATTTGTGACATTCAGGCTTTGAAAAGCAGGTGAGGATGTTTGTGCACATGTAACCTGTCAGATTGTAAGTTCTTTGAGGACCGGCACCTGTCTTGCATTATTTTGTATCCTGTGCAAACTCTAACTCCTTGGATTAATATTTTGTTGTCTGTCCTTTGCTCTCAAAGAGGACCAGGACATCAGGGAGGTGATGCCATGACATGCAAGTGAACTGGATTTAAGTGAAGCAGAGCTGTGCAAAGTCACCAGCCTCACTTTCTCCTCCAGGGCCATCTGGGTCCAGTGGCAAATAAAGATCAAGACAAATGGAGATGGCCCAGGATGCAGTGGGGGGACTTCGGCCTTTTCAAGCTAAGTTCTTTGACAGATCTCAGTCTGATTGAGACAATACCCATTCAATGATTAAGGCTTAATAAGAAATGAGGCAGAGAATGGCCACTTTAGCTAGTCAAATTTTTAAGATACTTTAATATTTAATGTTTTAGCTGTTCAATAAATATCTCCAAGTCACAGAAGCTCAAATCTAAAAGGAATCTAGAGGATGGCCTAGATCTAGATCTAAAGGTCGTCCTCTACTTTGTGCCTAAACTAGAATCCTCTTGGATCCTTGCATCTGCCTAAGTGGACATTGGTGCAGGATTGACTGTGATTTGAATACCGCCTCTGACAATATTGGTGTGACTATGGGCAAGTTACTCTATTCCTGCATCTGTAAAATGGGCATAGTGATACCTATCATCTCTGCCTCATAGGGTTCTTGGAAATAGCCAATGAGATGATGGAAAGAAAGCATATAGACAGTTAGCTCTTATTGAGGAAGACAAGAGTCTGTGCATTTCTCCCCATCCCCCTACTCCCACCCAACTCTAGGGCCAGCCATGCCGACCATGTGCTCACTGATCTGAGGGACCAGACATGACTATGTAGGCATGAAGTCAGACACATCATAGTCCCAAGCAATGGGGCTTCGCGGTTAAAATGCCCACAGTGGGCGGGGAAAACCCTCTTTGATTATCACAGATTCGTCTAGCAAATTAGCTATTGGAGGTCAGAAGTAAGTTTCAATGAGAATGACAATAGTAGCCCATGTCTGTATGGCCCTTTATAGTTTGTAAACCCACTAAATGGAGTCAAAGGCAGGTGATGTCTAAGGCATGCCTGAGAGTGCTGGAGCTGAATCCTGCCATAGCCTGTGGGTTTGGGCACTGGGAGTGGGTGAGTCCTAGGTGGTCTAGGAGTGTTGTTTCATCATGCAATACTGAGCCCTAACTGGAAACTGAGCGGTGAATGGGAGCAAGAATAGCCCAGACTATATATACATATATATCCAGACCTCGAGCTCTGGAATCTTCCTAGGACTGATTCTCATTCTAGGAATAATCTAAACTTTCAAAAGTACCATTGGGCTGACAGCCTGCTTATCCACCACCATCTCCCTACCTCCTGGTCAACATCCCCAGGGTCTTGGAATTGTGGCACCCCTCTTCCAGGTTGGGGAAGCCAGAGTCCCTGGGCCATCCTCTGTCGAAGTCAGATTGTCCCCTGTCCAACCCTCCCTCCACCAAAATGAATTTGCCCACACCTGTAATTATGCTGTTTATTAGTGACTTTGAATATTTTTAGGGGGTTGTAATTCTTCTATTGAAAACTTCTCTTCCTTTGACCCCTTGACTTGTCTATTTGCTAAACCTATCTTTTGACAGATGAGAAAACTGAAGCTCAGAGAGTTTTAGGGATCTGCCCAAAGAATCACAGCTGGTAAATAGGAAAGGGGGGATGAGCTCCTGAGTCTGCTTGTTCCAAATCCTACAGTTTTTCCCCTGCACCACACTGCCCTTAAGAAATGTCAATCAACAACAACAACTTCTTCCTTTCCATCTCAACATTCTGGTGAAGCAGGAAGCGCAAATACTATTATCCTTATTTTAAAGATAAGGAATCTGGGCTTCAGGGGTGGGTCATGATGTGACCTGACTCAGGTCACATGGTGAGTAAATAAGTGGTCGAACCATAGCTGCTGCTTAGGTATTTTGAACTTATGTCTAGTGATTTTCCCACTGTACCACATTGTCCTTGTATAGGTAGATAGTTGGGGGGAGAGAGAGAGAGGAGAGGAGAGGAGAGGAGAGGAGAGGAGAGGAGAGGAGAGGAGAGGAGAGGAGAGAGAGGAGAGAGGAGAGGAGAGGAGAGGGGAGTTAAAGAGGGAGGCAGGGAGGGATGAGAGGGAGAGGGGAGAGAGAAAGACTGGAAGAAATGGGGAGAGAGAGAGGAGGGAGGGAGACAATGAGAGATGATAGCTAGGTAGATGATGGATACAGACATAGATAGATGACAGAGTTAAATATATATATATATGTATATATCATATGTGTATGTATATGTATGTGTGTAAGTATAATCCCCAAGTACAGTGAAGATGAGCTTTCAAGGAGCCTGTGCTCTGGTGGTGTCAGGGACCCTTTCAGGGCACCAAGGATTTCCTCAGTATCTTGTCTTGATGACCCAACCTAGGAAACCTGAGGAAACCTACCATGCCTCTCACAGCCCCTTGACCACTGCTCTTTTCAAGTAGACATTTCTCAATGGAATTGTCAGCTTAGAGCTAGACCAGGCCTTAGATGTCTCCCAGTCCAAGCCCCTTGTTTTACAGCAGAGGAAATTGAGGCCCAGGGCTCGGGGGACATTTCTGAGGTCCTACCATGGGGATTCAGTGGCAGAGGCAAGGGCCAGACTCTGGTCCTCGAGCTTCCCATCCAGGGCTCTTTCCCCTGTATGTACCCCCTCAGTGACCCAGGGCAACGTCTTCTTCAAAGAGGAGACAGGAGTCTGAGCTGGTGCCTCGAGCACCCCAAGGTCCCTGAGATGTGGGAAGAGAGCCAGAGCCCGGATTCAGGTTTGAGCACTGTTGGCTCTGGGGGAGCTGTGTCTGATTCAACCCCCTGGGCATCCCGGGAACCAGGCTCAAAGTGGGGTACATTGTGGGGGCTTAACGTAAAAACTGTGTTGAATTCCTCTCTGCTAGGCTTGCGGGGGGGGGGGGGGGGGGGATATGGAGTGGGTGTGGGGGGTGGTGCTCAACCAGGAAGACTATTGCATGCTGCTATCTAGTGGCAGGATTTTGTTTGTGATGATTACATTTTTTTTAACACACCTGTTAAAATCTATCTCCCTACTTAGACACACACACACACACACACACACACACACACACACACACACACTCAAACACACTCACAGTCTCTCACATACATACACATACACACATTCTCATACACACTCTCACACACACACTCTCACACATACACTCACACATTCACACTCACATACTCATACACACACAAACACACTCACATACACACATTCTCACTCACACTCTCACACATTCACACACACTCTCTCTCACATACATACATACACTCATACACACATTCACACTCACACACATACTTATATACACTCTCTCACACACATACTTATACACACTCTCTCACACACATACATACACACACACACGTTCTCACTTACTCTCACACATTCACACACACACTGTCACATACATACACACACTCACACAATTCACTCACACATTCACACACACACATACTCATACACACTGTTGCACACACACTCACGTACATATACACACAAACACACTCACACACACATTCACTGACACATTCGAGCATTCACACACGCGCGCACGCACACACACACACACACACCCACACACACACACACACACACACACACACACACCCTTGGGGAGATGGAAAGAAACCTATGCCCTAAAGCAGGCTACCTCAGACACCAGGTTGAATGATGGGCTCCTGGGGAGCCA